AGAAACATACCAAGGGAACATGAATCAAATATGCACTTTTATTCATTTACAATAAACTCATAAAGTACATCATTCTGATTGAAGCTAAGGGCATACAAAACTGTCCAACATCTTCTCCCCCTTCTCCCCAAATTTCATTCTTCAATTTGTTATCAAAATTCTCCAACTTTGTTTTTGAGTCAAGACCACATCTAGTTTGTGATTCCTAATCAAGTTCTAACCAAATCCCTTCTCCTCCCTTCCTTTAGACCTATTACATTCCAACCGAGGACCTTCATCCCCCTCTCTCTCCTTCTACTCTACCTCTTCAGCTTTTAGCCTTTACTCCACCTCATCCAAACCGCCTCTCCCCCTTCCTTATCCCACCCTTATTTTTTTTTCTAGACTCTTCTGCCATCTTTTTTTCTCTTCTCTTTTCCTCTTTTCAAATTTCTCAAAAGCTAGATTCGCAAATCCTTCCCCTGCCCAAAAGACTAGGTCAAGGGATTTTCCTATCTTAACCTCCCTCTCAACCAGTTTGTTGATGTCCACTAATCGAACATGCTCACATTTATTTCTGTTTTCTTTTATCAGCAACTCAAAAAATGAATTCATTAAGCAAATAAAGAAGTTGTGAAGGATACAAATAGACACCCTGTATCTAAACCCCAAGAGTTACAATTGAGCCCAAAACATAGTCTGTCTTTGTACTCCTTGCTTAGCTAGACCATCCGCCAAACAGTTAGCAGATCTTATAACCCATTGGACTTGAATAAACATGTCCCTAGAAAGCCATTTGAACCTCCTAAGGTCATTCCTTAAGATGCCAAGAGACTCCTTCCCCTTTATTTAATTAGTCCACCACTAATTTGGAATCACCTTCAATTATTAGCCTTTCAAACACCAACTCCTTGGCTTTATCAAGGCCAAAAACAGCTGACAAAACTCCTGCTGTAGCCACATCATTTTGCTCAACTGGACCTGAGAAGAAACCACAAATATTTCCTTCCTCATCCCTGATCATTCTGGATTGCCCACACAACTCCCATCAAAATTTAGTTTCAACCAGCCACAAGGCGGGGGTGACCAGTCCACTGCTGCAATCTATCTTCTAGAAGATGAGGAAGCTATAACCCCCCAAGGTCTGAAGAAATCATCTACTTCAAAGTCTGAGAAAAGAATCAAGGTCTTGGCCCACCATGCCACTCTTAGGATTATGACCTCAATCAATGCTTTATTCCCCTATGCAGTTTTTCAAAATTTCAAGGACATCCTAGAAACCATTATCCACAGTTGCCTTATCCATATGTTTTTCTAACTTAACAAAGAGCTACATACCACACCAAGGAAGTGTGCAATGAGGACATCCCAATCTTCCCGATAAAGAGATGGAAGCAAGTGCTTGATGCAGCCATCATCTACCTGCAAGAGAAATTTCCATACAATCAGGTTGAAATTAAAAATAAAAAGAAAGGAAGGAGGGAAGGACAAAAGAGAAAAAGAAAAGCAACTTCTCTAAATTTTATGAATATAGTTATAAGAAGATTAGTTTTTCTGAAAGACATACTGTGTGAAGATCTTTAACATTGAAGGATGGGTAGGGGTAAGACTTTTCAAAATGATCTGGGAACAACTGTAACCATGTGTCATCTCCCATCATCAGTACACGCTTTCCATTTTGCACCAACTTCAAATGGACCAACATTATGAGATTAAAATTACTGGTTAAAAAAGACATTTTAGGTTGTAAATGTTTAAAATTTAATACAAGCATACATGATCAAAACTAGATGCCCTGACATGAAGAAAAGTCCAAATCTATACCTGGTGTATCAAATTATCTTCAACAATTGCTGGAGCCCCAAAGCTATTTCCTACATCAATGAATGTTGGCAATCCACCGGTTGTCAAGCCCTATAAAATTTCCAAGGGGGAGAGTATATCTGTTAGGCAAAAGATCAAATTTTTTATACAACAAATGATAATAAAACAAGAAATAGATTGGCATTTCAGTAAATTAAGTTCAAAACTCTGCTTCACATGGTCTCACCAAATGGAGTGATGGCATTTATTACATATTTAACCTTTTAATCTTTGCTTTAAATAAAAATAAAACAACATTAAAAAACATCAGAAAAAGAACATAGGGGAAACAATATTCCCTATGCACAAATGGTTCTCTTTATGCATGAAAGGCATCTATCTGTATACCTGCTTTAATAGATGTCAATCTATACAATATTTAAGCACCTGACAAAATTTATTAACGGAAGTAAGGTTTTATACTTCTAATATTGACCAATTTAATTCAATATAGAACTGAAATGTAAAACATTTTTCTATTTTCATTATGGTATTAACTGTAAAACCCTATATATTAACTAGTTGCATTTTCTATATACTATTCTCTGTAAAAAAAAACAAAAAAAGGTAACAGAAACATGTCAATCATAAATAACAGCTCAACATTACATGAAAAAAAATATTACTCTAAAACCATAACTTGATATTTACTGACATAAATTGGATTTCAAGAAGCAAGCAAACCAGCAGGCAATCTGAAATTTTACCAAGAAAAAAGATTAAAAAGAAAGAAGCTGCAAGAAATGGTTCATGATCAAAATCATAATTAGATAAAATGTATTTTAGGCCTGTTAAAATCACATTCCCAATCTCAAATTATAAATGGAAATTTCACCTTCAGACGTTGCAAACTGGTTGTAGGTGGATCAGCAAGAGCCTTAAAAATCCGAGCTGATGATCCTTTATCATAGGCTAGCTTCTGCAGCACCTTTAACTTGTCCATCCATGGCTTCTTCTCTGGAATAAAATTTGTGGGTAATCCCCCATCCTATAAGAAGTTCTTAAGGTAAACAGCTATGCCTATGCATTTGATATGCCATGCACTAATCAAAATTCCAAATAGCAGACAGAGTAAAAATATGTCTCACGCTGTCATGCTTGCTGCAGTTTCCTACCATTACCGCATTACCAAGTATAGAAAGTGTAACTACACTCTTCCAATAGTAAAGAAAAAAGATAAAGAAATGCTAACCGTCAAAGAAGATACTGGGTGCAACAAAATCAAATCTGCAAGGCAAACAACAATTGTGGGGAAAAAAGTTAGTTTTTCGAAGATGATAATCAGTCCCTTCAACAATAAAATCCATGCTCAGTTAGAGGATGCTAAGTGGTATCTCGTAAACTAGGCCAGAAACTGATGTAACTGGTGTAGGCATCAAATCATCAAGAATGGAATAGAGCTTCAGGAAAAAAGATGATATTTAATGGAAATGAATGCTTTTCATACAACAGTAACAGATACGGTGTATTATCTTCCTTCTGTGACCTTATGTTTTATGCTTGAGTTCCACCAAGAAAATTAATCAAGAAGAGATTTTTTACAGAGAATTCAACAAGAAAATCACCGCCTTTAACCGGTCAAAAATTAAACAGGATCCTAAGGAAACCCAAATGTCTCTATTTCACAGCATTAAATATGAAACCAACTCAGATTTCCTCACAAATCTCAAAGTGAAAGGGGGGAATGAATCACCATCAAATAAAATGAGCCAAAGAACCAAAAGCTTACCTCAGCGCATCGAGAACGATAATGACGAGACGGTCGATAGCAGGTTTGGTCCAACAACGTTCACCACGTTCGTGTCTGTTTACTCGATCTGTTTCGGAGAAATTTCGAGGTGAAGAAGAAGAGGAACATGTTGAAGGAGCTTCAAGTGGAGAAGGAAAACAGGGAGACTGGGAGATATCGGCGCAGTGACTAAAAGATGAGAGCTCTGTTCGAGTAAGGAGAAACCCTCGAGTGAAGAGCAAGATGGCAACGCAGTGAAGGATCAGAATCAAGAAGAACGGCCATATCAGTCTCCGTTTTTCGTTTGACGATCCCGCCATTACCTTCACAGAGAGGACCCAAACGGCCAATACATCGATCTTTCAAATATTTTAAGTTTTTAACCATCGATTACCCTCACACTCACAGTGTTCAATTAGACATTATACAAATAATAATAAGTCAATATCAATAATAATAAGAAAAATGTTAACACTACCGCCCGTCTTGGTTTCTATTAAAAAGAAAAAGAAAAATGTTCACTAGCCAGCACTCAGCAGTCACTACGAGAAACTTCAGGTGTGATGAGTCTTGATCCGTGAGGATGGTAGATGCAACTTGGGTGGGTCCACGTCTACCCACAATACACTAGCCCTGTGAATTGGGAACATCTCCCCCTGCATAATACTATACAGAGGATGAGATGTTCTTCATGTATGGCTGCGATAAACGTGGGCAAAATTCTCGTGGGTAGGGGATCCGGATTCAAAAGGAACGGATCACGAACATCTCCCGTGAATAATAACTTATAAGTACGGGAGATGTGCCCAATGCATGGGGTTTAAATACTTAAACACACAGAAAAAGTAAAAAGACTTTACTATCCTTCTGTTAAGTGAATCTATTAAATTGCTTTGAAGGCAACATGTCTTTCTTGCCCTCGCATATTTAGGCGAACTATCTTCACTTTTATCTTTCGCTACCGTAAAAAACAACACTAGACTAGGGGTGCTCACGGTTCGGCAAACTGTGGGACTGAATCGTAGGGTGATTTTCTGGACCGAATCAAACTGTTTGGTTTTTCAATTTAACCAAACCGAAACTGAACCGATGCAACCGGTTAACTGCAGTTCGGTTTTTTGGTTTTTTTATGCCCTCAATATTAAAAAAAGGGGGGAAAAACCTTCCTTCTTGCAGGGAACTAAGAGAAGGGGAAAAACCTAGTTGTCGATTTGTCAGATGCCGACCGAGTAGCCAATGATCTGGAGACTAGTTAGCAAAATTATTGACAAGAAAAACCCTAGAGATCAACTGTCAATTTTGCTCGAAGTGAAAGTGTAAATGGATGGATACTACTAACCAGTAGGTCACCTTGAAGGGTGCCGCTACCGAAGCTGAAAGAGGCCTTGGGCTTTTTCCGGTCTCTATTTTCTTTAACGTAGGCTACCTAGACACTGAAGAAGCATCATAATTAGACCTATTCATGGGCCGGGTCGGGCCGGGCTTTTACTCTCCATTAACAAAAATATGTTATGCCTGAGCCCGAGCCCGGCCCTAATAAAAAGCCCGAAGCCCAAGCCCGAGCCCGAAGCCCGACCTAATAAAAAAATTTAGAAAATTTCCCTATTCAATAATCAATATAAATCAGAATTTATTTACATTAAAAAAATATATAAATTCAAAATTTATTTATATTAAAAAAAGAATATAAAGAAGGGAAAGAGGATGTGGAGAAGAAGAATTCGGTTGGAAAAAGAAGGGAAGGAGGTGAAAAAAAGAGGGGTATTCAACTGGGGTTTTTAGGTTTAGTTATAGGTCGGGCCGGGCCGGACCGTTTTGGCAAATCCCGAGCCCGGCTCGAATTTTTTGTGGGTCGGGCTTTTTGGCCCGAGGTTAAGCCCGCAGGCCTATATACCTATTCAAGCCCATCCGGGGGTCGGGCCGGGCCGGGCCGGCCCGTCGGGCCACCCAGCCCATGAACAGGTCTAATCATAATCCATGGAAGAAACATTTTGGCACAGACATAGAACTTCTCCCTGGCTGCGATGGAAGTCTTGAGATCAATGAATTCCCAATTCAAACCAAAATGCCTACAAAATTGAAGGAAGAGGAAGAATTAGGATTTCCTCTTTCTTTCATTGTCACCTAGGGTTTCTATTCGGAGTCCCTTTAGAGATTAATTTAATCAAGGAACAAAAACCTCCAGGTCTGAAGAGCAGTCTTTTCATAGGTCTCAGGACTAGAACCAACCAATATGCGGTTGTGATTGAGGAAGAAGCCATCTTTTGAGAGGTCTCCATCATCTTGGAGAGCGGAGAAGGGCTTGGAGGTGGCGCCTCTGTACTCGGAGTCGTAGTTGAAGTCTCCTGACCTGTGAGTGGATCACTAGAGTGAGCAAATCCATCATTAAGAGCAAAGATGGAGGGCAGAGAGCCAGAGGCCGTCAGTGATTCTATCGGAGGGCAGAGCATCGATGGTCGTCAATCCGTCGGGAAAGAAGAGAACTAAGAGTCTGAGAGAATGAGAGTCTGAGAGAGAGAGAGAGCTGAGAGAGGGAAAGAAAGGGGAAAGGCGCGGCAGGCGGAGGTAGGAGGTATTAGGGTTTAGGGATTCAATTTTAAATTTTAAAAATATTATATACATTATATAATATATATATATAATTATATAATATATATTATTAGTATATACCGGTCGGTTCGGTTAATTGCCGGTTTTTTAATAGGCTAACCCAACCGACCGATTCGGTTAACCATTTTTTCTGTTCGATTTCGGTCAGGTTTTTTGGTTCTTTTTGCTCAAATCCTGGCCTCATGTCTGGTAACTACTGCAAATCTTGGAAAAATCTATAATAACCAACAATAAGTATCTTATTTAAGTTGTTGCCCATTGGCTAAACCTCTAAATAGGGTTTACTTTGGATGAGAGCCGGTGGCTAAAATAACAATGTTTTTTTTTGTGGTTTGTGCAAAGAGTTTGGGAGGGATTTGTGGTGAGATTTGTGGGAATATTTACTGTTCTGTATGTGACCACCAAGGTAATCGCAAAAGTTGCCAATCTGTCATGTCTGATTACATTGACTGTGTACTTGGTTGGACTAGGAATGGCAACAGGGCAGGTCGGGGCAGAGATCATATTCCCCGTCTCTGCTCCCGATTATGAAATTAACCCCCGTCCCCGTCCCCGATCCCTGCTGAGGATAAAATTTGTCCTCCATCCTTGATCCCTAACGGGGATGGGTTCCCTATGGGGACCCGAATCCCCAAAATTTTTTTAGATAACAGTATTTATTTGAAAAATAAATTTACTTAAAATAAATAAAAATTTTAAATTATAAATAATTTTTTAAATATGTTTTGATATATATAATATAAATAATAGAATAATATAATAATATATATACATGATCACGGTCAGGGTGGGGCCTTCAATCCCCATCCCCGACCCAAACCCGTCAGGATGGGGAAAATTGCCATCCCTAAGTTGGACCAGCTGCTTGTTCGAATGCAAGCATTGGCCTTACACATGTATGAGGCATAGGTGTTTGATGTAAGCATTGGTTGGGCCATGTGTTGTTATGTTGTGGTTCAAATGGTAAACCATAAGTGTTTGATGAAATGTCCAGATGATGTATTCTTAGGCTATCCGAAATTGTATTCATGAATGGATCATACTTTAATGTATGGTGAAACCACAAGTGTTTGATGCCTTGAATGGATTATGGATTATACTTTTGCATATGATGAAACCATGTGGGCAAAAGGACATGTAGTTTTGAGTTCAATTTTGCATGCCTAGAGTTCAAGGGGGGTATGGAGTTTGCTAATGTTAAAGAGTTCAAATTAGCTTTGAGGTAGTATGTTGTTGTTAAGGGTATCCAGATCAGGAGGGTGTGGATGGGATAAGTAGGTAGATGGGTGGGATGGATGGACAGGTGTGGGTAGGGTAGGCAGGCAAATGGGCAGGGGTGGGCGGGGGCAAGCAGAGTGTGCGGGATGGAATGGGCGAGGTAGGCAGGCGCAGTGTGAGGGATGGATGGGCGAGGTAGGTAGGCGCAATGTTTGGGATGGATGGGTGGGTGTAGGTAGGTGGGGTAGGTGCGAGCGGGATGTGCAAGCAGGGGTATGCACTACGCACGTACATGGCTATCTAAACTTGGCATTTCATTGAACAATTGCAATGTAGGGAAATGCATGGCTGCATGCATTGAACTTGTTCTACACCTTCGCGCAATGCACCCCTACCTATCTGGTGTCCCACCCATGATCAAACACCTTATGACCCACCTCACTTGCTCACTACTCCAAGCCAAGTATCCATTACCAACATAGGCAAAATCTACTACAATTTTCTCACTGCAACTCCTGCCTTGTTGTGGTTATCGACACAGTAAATGGAGGAGAATCTGTAATCAACAAGTTATGGTAGGGGATATCTTTGTCCAAATACTTTAAAGAAAATCTATAATCAAAGGTTGAAGGTTTTTTTTTTTTTGTATTCACTAATAACCTCCCCTTGACCCCTTTTCTCCCCAATGTGGTGGTTGTGGGATTCGATTCTGCACCAATGCTAGAACAAACCAACTAACACACCAATGAGTCACCCCTTAGTTGGTTGGTTGAAGGGTATTTTTGATCATAAAATGGTAGTTTTGACATTTTAAAAAACATAATAATGGCACGTGATGGCACATGCTGATGAATATTAACAGGGAGCTAACAATAAGGGTAACATTTGTCAATTGTCATAAATGTCGAGGGTACTTTAAGTAATTTCTTAAAAAGTAGGATAAGTTTGTGTACGTTTGCTAAACCATAGGGGTGTTTAAGTATTTAACCTAGGGGGTGTTTAAGTATTTAACCTAAAAAAACTCAAGTTCAACCTGAATTTGGGTTGGGCTTAGGTTCTGAAGTTTATCCATGCAAAATCTCATGTTGGGTATGGTTGGGCTTGTTTTGCATAGTTGGGCTTGAGTTTTTGGGATTTAGGTTGGACTAGGTTACGTCAGTCTTAAGTTACCCAAGACCTCAACCCAAGTCTAACCCGAGCCCACCCAAAGCATGGGCATCTTTTATCAAACATAAAAATATCATTTCCCCTTATATAGACATATATAAAATATGTATGTATGCATTTATTGATGAAACTTATGCATGTTTTTAACCCATTCTACTTTTAAGTTGGGATTTAAAGCCCAATAAAAGATGATTGTGTAAAAATATAATCTTAAGATATTTTAAACTTGACCAACACACCCAAGCATGGCCCAACCCATCATGAACTTGAGCCAACCCAAATAGTGTTGGGTTAAGCTCGAATTGGGCTTGGGTTGGTAAACTCAAGCTTGACCTTGAGTTGGGCCAGGGTCGAGCCTGAAGTTTGTATCTTAGGGTTGGACCTGAGTTGACCCCTAACCCACCCAAGTTGCACCCTAGGATGATAGGGCATAGAGGTGCAACTTGAG